GCCCCTCGGGAGGAGGGCGGCACTCACACAGCAGCAGCTGCACCTGGGAGGTGGAGAGGAAATGAGCAGTCAGAGGGTGAGGGAGTGCCTGGTTCTGCCCTGAGAAGCCCTGCTGGCTCCTCTCCTGCCTTTGGCACCCCCTCAGCCCCTGCCTGTCTATTTGAAACCCGCAGGGCCTGCCAGTCTCACCTCTGCCCTTGCGCGCAGACGTCCGGCGGCTTCTTTTCACTTTGACTGGCATCTCAGGCTCAGACAAGGTTGCAGTAGTGGTCCCTTTCCTCCTCCCATGAGCACGTCCCTTCCTTGGCCCATTAGCAGCTGCCTCCTCCTTCTCCTCCTCCTCCTCCTCCTCCAACTTTGGGGGTTTTGCTGCAGCCCTGGGGTGCTGTTTTGAGGCATGCGTGGTGACCTGGGTGGACATCAGAGCTGGAGCTTAGCAGCAGAAGTGTGCTTGCACTGCCAGATGATGAGAAACTCCAGGCAGAAGCCCCACTGCAAATTTGGGAGCAGCCTGAGCAAGGCATGAGCAACAGGAAAGCCTCTAGACCCAGCAGGAGACACAACTGCAAAGCTTCTTACCTTGGGGGTCAGCGCCTCGGGATCTGCCTTCAGCCGAGTACGCTTCTTGCGGGGTGTCTGCCCTGTGTGAGAAGACATGCCCAGGTTAGGAGAGGTGACAGTGCACCTCGAGGGACAGGCTGTGGCACAGTAACCTTTTCGGGGATGCTGTCCCAGGTCAAGTGTGAGCTGAGCACTGAAGAACTGGTGCTGGGGTGGAGAAAGGGCTTGAGGGGCCCCAGGGCGTGGGGCCTCCCAAGCTCCAGCCCTCCCCAAGCAAGAGTGGGTCCCACAGGGAGGAGACACTCTCCTTTGGGAGCCAAGGGGCCGGGCTCTCCCTGCAAGGAAGGTGACAGAGCGTTGGCTGGGGTGCAGTCATTCTGCAGGTAGCAGCAGCAGAACCCATCCACCTTCTCCACCCCGAAGCCAAGACAGCGATAGGGAAACGGCCACATTTCCGCAGGAAGTTGGGGGAGTTACGCTTGCTCTGCCTGCCCTGTGCCTCGCTGACTCTCCCGTCAGCGCCTGCTCCTTCTGCAAGGCCTCTCAGCACCTCGCATGGGGCACAGGAGGAGAAACAGTGCTGCCAGACTCCCTGAGCCCCCCAGTCCTGTGATCGACCCCTCTGCTTCAGACTGCCTGCCATGCCTTGGCCAGCTGGCCACCACTTGGAAGGTCCCTGTCACCTCCACATCTGGCAGTCACAGCAGTCTGATAGAGGGGCAGTCCCTCAGAGACCCAGTGTAATGCTGGGCAGCCTTGGAAAGCAGAAAACGGGCTGGTGTCTCCTTAGAGGAGTGGCTGGGGGCCCCCCCACCCCCGACAGGGAACCCCGACT